CGCGCGTGACAGCCACAGTCTTCATGATGGGCGTGCCAACATCGCGCCGTACGCTACGCCGTTGAGCAGGCACAATCTCGGTGAAGTGCCACGTGCCCAGTTTACCGTCGAACTATTCGTTCTTGTCTTCGTCCCAACGTGGCCGGGTAACCGCTGTCAGAAACATGACCTTGAGTAGGTGCTGCTTGGACTTGCATGATCGCTGCTTGATCTTCTCACCCGGGGCGCCATAGACCTTCTTCCGCAATCGCGTCATGAAGAACCATTTCTTGTCGATGTGGACAGTGTCGAGCATTGGGTCGAAGAACTTGGCACAGTCGACATCTTGAACGTGCTGGATGGCCCAGTTGAGGTGACAAACCTTGTTGAAGTCGGTGAGGGCAGGCTTCAGGACAGTGGACTACTTGACGATGACCCCGCGCTTGAAGTAGCAGTGTAGTGTAGACGATGAACCTTGAGGAGGTGTGCAAAGGTGCGGAAGCAGTAGCGACGGGATTGGGGTATAGTTTGGATGCGTTGGGGCAGGTCGTCGTGCTGACGGTTGCGCCCACAGTTGCCCTTTTTTGGTTGGTGCACCCCAAGACAAATGGTTATTTGTCCTGTCAGATCGACAGCACCACGGCGCCATATGCGGCGAACAGTCGTTGGGTTGACGTCGAACATTTGGCCGATTTCAACGGCCACGCCTTTGTGTATCTTGCCTTTCGGCGCAACGTCTCAAGACATGCTGGACTATGTTGGCGCACTCAATAGGTAATCATACATTCACCAAATTCCAATTCTTTCATAAAAGCATGGGCTCATCGAAATACGAACATCTATAATTGGACAGAGGTAGTAGTCGATACTACAGCCATTTTTCAAAATAACTTGGGCCAAACGCTTGGCATGCTATCCACAAGCGTCTTCAAGTAGTCAGTACCTATCATTTTCCACGATATTAAAATTAATTAATTAAAAATATTATATTTAAAAGCAATAGACCTCCTGGCAAATGAAGGGTTTTCAATAGAGAGATGGAGTACTAACTTAGACAATAGAACACTCCTCAAATTTTATAAACTATAAATGCATTGAGGCTCTACTTCAAATAGTTCATCATGATTTCTTGGCGAAACGCGACTTGAATTATGACATTACATCGAATTGCCCATGTCGTCTTTTCTAGAACCCTAAGTGCAATGGCGTTTTAGTCAATCACTTCAAAAGTTACTGTGTACCATCCAAGAACACTCTCTA